CAGAGAAAGATTTAATCATCTCAGGCATCATTAGCAGTACATATAAGGAACCTTGGGGCCTTATTCTTCTCCACTTTGCAGCCTTTGGACTTGGCTCTCTACTTCCCTGTGCCTTGTCAGCTGTCTGAACCAATACAGCATTTTCCAGCCCCTTTGCAGTAGTATATATTAGCCCTAAGGACACCAGCAAGGGAGAATGTGGTTCACAGTCTTCCTTGACACCTGTGTGCTACCAAGGTCGGGGTGGCAGCATTTTAAATCCACCTTACATCTTTATCAACCTTGTAAGTGACATTACAAGACAGTGGAGGATCTTTAAAGTGATCAGACCTGCTGTTTCTTGGGAATACTGCTGCCAAAGCAGGCAGAGCTTTAAAAAATGACCTATTTATAGATGGAAAATCCTAGACATCAACCCAGCCACCAGATCCTCACTGTTCAAAGGTTCTTTTACTCTTGCTGTTTGTTCTCTACCTACAGTCATAATCCTCAGTTTGTGGCACAACAATTCACAGCTTTCGAAATGTTTATGGTGGCTGTAAATAGATGATGATTTCAAAAGAGGGGCCAAGAAGCTGGGTGCTGGAGGGGAGAGAGCCCTGGGAATGGACACAGTGGGGCATATAAATGTCACAGCTAAGGATTTAGTCCCATGGTCCTCAGACTTTTCCCTACCTGGAATCCCCTCCTTCAGTCTATGCAGGCAGAAATTTGAAACATGGGAAGAGCAAGCAGTTTGCAACCTCCAGGTGGAGAACCAGTGAATTAGCCTGGGTGTTGCCCAGAACAGAGTTTGGCTCCTGCATTGTGCCACGAATCCATACTTGGCTGAACCAGTAACAACCTCCCTTCTACAATCACTAACCCTGTCTACAGCTGCCAAGGAAATTGCTTATCAATGGGCAAGGGTGGCAGGACACTATCAGTGGATTTTGTGCCTTTATTCTTAAACCAAAGGCCTTCAGCTCTTGGACAAACTGCGATACATTCCTCCTTACAGCTGGGCAGGTACGATCATCTATGGGGAGGGGCAGAGAGTTTAGGGCCTGATCCTCACCAGAACCTTAGGTAAAACCTCCCTTAAGTCTTGCATAAGTAGCCACCAGGAGCCTGGGAGTTTATTTATGGTATTGGGATAAGGACCCATCAGGGCTGATTCCAACCTCCTCTTCCCTCCCTTTCCACTACAGAGACTGGGAAAGCTGGGTCTGCTTCCTCCAGTGGCTACCAGATCAATGCAAAATAGATACAGGAAGGTCAGTGTAAGTCCTGAATCTAGGTTTCATGAACATGGGTGCAATAGAAAGTGTTTTCTTGTCATATTTTTGGGCAAAACCCTTCCCCCGTGTTGCTGGAATAACATAATCTAAGAATCTGCAAAGAATCTTTGTGCATTTGCCTGAGAAATAGGGCTCAACCAACATCATCCCTGGCCCCCTGGGAGCCTGCTGGGTGCACGGCTCCAGCTTTGCTGCCTGAATGGTGTGTCTGGCATCAGGCTCAGGGGCAGGTTACATGGTGCTGTTTATGGCAACAATTAAGAACACTGCAGAGCATGTTGCCCTCCCATGGCTTTGCTCCTGGCTCCTGTAACTGCTAGCTTTAGAAGGTATAAGTCAAAAAATTAGTCCTTGGCTTTGCACTTAAGCAATCTTTTCCAGGTGGACTGCACGCTTAGAGCCCATTGCACTTTTGGGCCTATCTTTAACATCTTTAACATCGCTATTTTATCATCTTTGCAAGACTGGAAGCCACCTCAGCGACACAGATCCCCACCTCAAAATTGATCAATATGGTCATCATTATCATCAACTACAGAGGCTATAGAGTTTACCACATGACTCCTGAGCTGAACCCAAGAACATACAGTTTCACTAGCGCATACCTTCTAGATCAGTGACTCTCAACCAGGGTGCCATAGCACCTAGACTTTAAAGGCTGGAGTCTGCAAGCGAGAGAGGAACAGTGAACAAAACCCTGGTTACAGTTCACTCTCACTTTTAGCGCCTATTCTCTGCCACTGTGACACAGGAGACTGGGAAAGATGGATCTATGGTCTGGCCCAGTAAATGGCAATTCTTATGTTCTTATACATGTTCTTGGAGTGCTGTGAGACCATTTCAAGGATGCTGTGGGCTGCTACATAATATTAGCACTGTTAGGTGTGCAAACACCTACACATGATTCACAAGATAAACCCAGAGATTTCAAATAGGAATCTATACTTTCAAAACCATTCTGATCTGTTCTGTACCTCCTGAGTTCTTTCCAGCAGAATAGTTGTTCTATTGTTTTTCCACAGTCAAAACAATGAGTGAAAGCTATAAACTGGCATTTTCTAAGGGGTGCCATGAGTCTAAAAAAGTTGGGAACCACTCTTCTAAGAAAGAGTGGTTGCTTTGATTTGAGAGACTCAACGTTTTTTTTTTTAAAAAAAGCACCTTAGGAGTAAAATCCATAACCTGTGGACTGTACTGAACTAAGAATGGGACCAGCTGGGTTGTAAACACTCCAAATTTAGTGGTTTTGCCATAACCCCACTTTTAGCGCTTTTGTTATTCCAACAAAAGCATTTCCCTCATGGGAGAACAATACCTCTCTGCTCATTCAGCAGTCTGGACTCTACAGAAACCAGCCTGGAAGCAGCTGAATACTTTGCACACCTGGTAGAACCTCATAGATGTCATCCTCCTCTTCACCACTGGCTGCTGCCGCCTCTGCCTCCTCCATATTCAGGCTAGCATTGTGTACTGCTGTGTTTGGAGTGTCAAAGCTGTCAATGTCATCATAAGTTTCTTCCTCCTCGTCCTCCTCATCATATGGAATGGTGAAGGAGCTCATGTCTGGCAGAAAGGAAAGTGAAAAAGAATGAGCCAGAGAAAACCAAGCTATTAGGTTAAATGGTGTTATTCAGAGAGTGGACCAAAATTTATCCTTGAACCAGGCTAGCCCTGCTCAGTGCTCATCATCATAAATCTGATTCAACAGTAAAACAAGGCATCAGAATTGGGCTGTTCCCTTTAGATGTCCATGGGCGACTGGCCCAGAACATGCAAAGAGAATACTGGGTAAAGACTGTTAACAGGGGATACAAAGCCCTGGGGAATTGGAGGAAATCTGCAGGGTATAATTCTAGGTTTTCCCAGAAGGAAAACACAGAGTGGGGTTTCTTAAGAAGTTCAGCCTAGTCCCCAGTCACTGGACACTTTGCAGAGCATGTACCTCCCTAGAGCAGTTTCTCAACCTTTTAAGCAGCAAGTACCCCCTAACTTGTGAAAATTTTCAGAAGTACCCCAACACTCAATTTTCCAGGGGATTTTATATTTACAGACTAATGTGTGCCATATGTTGGAAGATGGGCTGTGTATATAAGGTCGTGATATGACAGATATCTGATCTGGTGTGGGTAGGATTGCTACCTTTTACACCAGGGGTACAAAACTCAAGTATGTACCTGGGCTAGAGGTGATGTTGGCCAAAACTAGGAGGGCTGAACACCAAATTATTACTGGGGAATTTAAAGCGCCGCACAATGTGAAGTACACCAATTTTTTTACCATAGTTTTGAGAGGAGGAAGGGATGAGAGAGAGAGAGAGAGAAAGAGAGAGAGTGTTGGGGTACCCCCTGCCTTTGTCTCGTGTACCCCCAGGGTTACACGTACCACAGGTTGAGAAACTATGCCCTAGAGCACCAAGTAAATGTAACACAGTCACTGGACTCACTGCAGAAAGTATAATGCAGCAATTCCCAATCAGGGTGCCATGGGCTATCACAAAATACTTGTATTGTTAGGTGTTCAAACACCATGATTCACAAAATAAACCCAGAGATTTCAAATAGGAATCCATAATGTCAAAAATCCTCTGATCTGTTGTGGGTTTTCTGAGTTCTTTGCAATAGAAGAATTGCTCTATTATTTTTCTGTGGTCAAAAAAGCAAGTGAAAGCTCAGAGGTGGCATTTTCCGAGGAGGACCTTGAGTCTAAAGATGGTGAAAACCACTGGTATAATGAAACCCTTTTAACAGCATGACCAAGATTTTAACCCACAGATCAGAACGTATCAAGGGGTACAAAACAACAAAGGTGTCTTCAATTCCCAGGAAGTTTACACACCTACCACTGGGTTCAGATCTCAGTTAGGCTGGGCTAAACCTGAAATAATTTAAGGGTTGTTAGAGCAGTGAGGCTCCAGATTTTAAAAAGCAGCCACCCCTGAATAAGCAGGTAGGGCACCAGAATCTGGCCTTTCTTCTTATACCACATGCATGCACCAAGAGAGACTCTCAGCCCCCCCCAGCCCTGTTTTCTAGTCCTACTCAATTATAACTTGAGCATTTTGTGGAATCATCACACCACAGCTTGTTCCCTCAGTAGCAAAAATATTGAGTAAAACTGGCAGCCCTTGTGTTTCAAGTAGCAATGGTCTTTTTTTATCCCCAACAAAAGTTCACAATCCAATAAGCAAAGCTGAATGATAATGGACAGCAGGGCAGACCCTACAATGAGAGGCTACGGGACCTGAACCTGTTCAGCCTTCACAAGAGAAGGCTGAGGGGGGACCTGGTGACCGTCTATAAACTCACTAGGGGGGACCAGAACGGTTTGGGGGAGACCTTGTTTCCCCTAGCGTCCCCCGGGATAACAAGGAATAACGGCCACAAGTTGTTGGAGAGTAGGTTTAGATTAGACATCCGTAAGAACTACTTCACAGTCAGGGTGGCTAGGATCTGGAACCAACTTCCTAGGGAAGTGGTGCTGGCTCCTACCCTGGGGGTCTTTAAGAAGCAGCTTGATGCCTACCTGACTGCGGTCATTTGAGCCCAGTTTTCCTCCTGCCCAGGCAAAGGGTCGGACTTGAAGATCTACAAGGTCCCTTCCGATCCTACTTCTATGATTCTATGATAGGATGCACTGCCTCCTAATATACTCTCCAGCTGGATTATCTGATATTGAGGGAAACAGAGACTTTGCAGGAAAAAGCCCCCACTATTCCCCCACCTGCTTAGGTGGCTGCTTCTCCCCCACTGTTTATTAGTTTCTTCAGTGCTGTGCCCCAAGACTGACCAGCAGAGGGTGCCATAAGAGCAGACATCTTGCATCCAGCATCCCATATCCCACTCCTTTGCACAAGGTGACACCAAAGAGGCTCTCTCTCCAGTAGACTGGTAAAGAGCAGTCTTATGTGGCATTAAGTCCTAGCGCTGCTGCACAGGAGCAAAGTGCTTTTCTATTCATGGGAGCTATCAAAAAAGATATCAGGGATGTAAAGACCAGAGAAATTAGGCAATGGCTGAACGCACCCACCTCCATGACAGAAGTTGTAAGGACAGGCAGCAGCTGCCACCACCAAAAAGTATGCACATCCATGCACTTCTGATGACCTCACCCAGCAGCTGTGTTGCAGAGTGCAAAGTGCACCCTAGAAAGGCACTGGCTGCTGACAAGACCGCAGTAGCCAGCAGAGGATGCTGGTGTGTCTCCATGTGCATTCTGCTGTTTGCCGTGGGATGGGAGGGGGTGACAGAAGTCTTATCCTGCTTGGCAGAGGGGGAGTAAGTGCTGCTAGGAGCGAAGATTCTTCCACTCAAGAGAAGTGGTGGGTATAAGTGACAAAACTTTGTAATGTGGACTGGCTTTAGAGAAGGAGGACTTGAGTGGTGAAAAGCAGAGCATCAGGAAAAGGAACTTCTGGTTTCTGTTCCTAACTCTGGGAAGGAATTGCATCTTTTTATACAGAGGTCCAGGAATTAGGATTCCTGGCTCCTTTTCCCAGCTCTGCCACCGAGTTTCTGTGTGACCTTAGGTAGGTCACAGTACCCCTTTGATTTCTCCATCTAGATCAGAGGGATGACAACAGTAAATCACCATCTTGCAGGGGTGGCGAGTTCTAATTTCTCAATATTTGTAAATGGGTTTGAGATCCCTGGATGAATGGAGCTAGGGAAGTGTCATTAAGCTCCCTAGAGCTAAGGCCTCAGACTGTCTGAAGGAATAAGGTTCCAAACTTGTTGGCCTGCCCTGAGCTACAGTGTTTCCCCACTACTACTCACCCTTCAGCAGATCTGATCCACCCAGTCTCTAGCTTCTGCTGAACTTGAAGCTGTAAACTGGAGAGAGAATGAATGCATCCATGTGTTAGTTCTTAGGAGTTAAGCAGAGGGATCAGAGACTAGCTGTCAGAACAAGAGACTAGGATCCAGGACTCCTGGGTTCTATTCTGGGAACTGCCACTTGCCCACTGTTCAGGGTTGCACAAGTCACTGCACTTCTCTAATCTTACATTACAGAAAATCACAAGGGTGCAACAACGCTGATCCACCTTAGAGGAAGGTTGCCAGGCTTAATTTATTAAAGTGATCTTGACTCACCAAATAAAAACCTGATTGTTGTGTAAAGTATTTTATTATTATTATTGTTACTGAGTCTGAGCCAAAGTTCCTGAAATCCAGGAAAGTCCAGACCCAAAGTTTATGGCTTTGGACTGTATCTGTTATTTTCAGCCTCGCCCAGACAGAAAACAGCATGAAGTCGGTCTGCAAAACTCTTGTTTTAAAATGAGACCTTTCAGGTCCAGTTTTCACTCCAGGGCTCCCAACTCATGCCAAGTGAGTGCCAAATGATTTAGTTCTGGTCATACTTTATACCCTTGCTGTACTGATGTAAGTGGACAGCACAAGGTGGAAAGCAGTGCAGAATCAGACTTTCCAGCCAGGACTGAAGACCAGTACTGTTTGGTTGTCATCACAGTCTTAACAAGGCAGGTCACCCTAGGATGCTTGGAAAGGTTTGATTCCAGATTACTTACCAGGAATAAGGGCATCATAACCTTCTGTACAGCACATCACCTGGTACGTCTTGCCACAGATTCAGGTTTAGTGATTTAGGACATGGCAAAGAGGCCTAATAACACCTACAGAGATACTGAAGTATGTCTCCAACCTTGCCTACTTGAGAGCATGTACCACATGTTTCTATGCAGAATGCACACAGATAATACACACTAAGCTCTCATGTTCAAAGCAGCTAGGTAGTCAGGTAGCAATGAAAGGTCAGTGTGTTCAGCTGATCCTACCTCGTAGCTGCGTTTGCCAGGGCAGGTTAGTTCAAAACATGATTCCTTTCGAGAGTCCTTGCGTACGTGAGGAGCCATTCGTGCACTGTAGTGCTCAACGGAAAAGGTGCCTTTTGGTTGCTTGCCTGTAATAATCAATCATACAATCATTGCCTTTGCTTTGGCATAGCATCTTGTACTGAGGGAGACAGCAACATAGAGGTGACGGGTGGTGATGGTGTCAGCTCACAGATGGAGAAACAGTTGAAGCACGCAGAAAAGTAACTCAGGTCACTCAATGAGTCAATAGGAGATGAACAACAAAAGTCCTTATTTCCTTACTCTGTATATCTCTAACCCTAGAGGAATCCATCTGCAAAGGGATGACTGCAACATCTCTCAGTCTATGAAAAGGAACAGCAAAGAAGAGGCCCTTATCCTTGCGGGAGGCTAAGCAGCAAAGGAAAGATAGCTAGGGTCACAGGAACACACAAAATGAGCGGACTGTAATGAAGCAGAGACCACTGTGTACTTGGGGAAATATGATACAAACGATTATTCAGCTGATAAAGAACTAATACGTTGATGTGGATGAAAGGAATATTTAGTGGGGCATTTGATAATTCAGCTCTGGAAGCATTCAGACATGTGCCCTCCCAAATCCTCAGCTGGGGAAGTTGACGTAACCTCACAGAAGCCATTAAGGCTGAGCTGATTTACACCAGCTGGGATCTGGCCTGTTCTTTTCCTCTTATACCTGGCAATTAGATATTTTCTTGTTGCGTAAGGAAGGCAGCATGCTTTAAGGATGTAATAAGACTGGACACCAAGACACTGGAGTTCTGTGGCTGGTTCTGTCGCTCATTTGCTGGATGGTCCCAGATAAACCTTGCTTTCTACCCATGCCTCAGTTTCTCCAGTTGCATGTCATAAAAATACTGACCCTAACCTTCCTGGATGAGCTGGATGGAGAAGTTTAACTGAATATTTGTAACATGCTCTGAAATCCTCATACAAAGGGTGCTAGAAAATGGCAAAACCATGCTCATCAATGGTAGATTTTAATTTTATCCTAAGAGCAAAATGGTCATCATATACTGAGGGTACATGTGTATATTTTTAAAGCTGTTGGTGTGCAGTGTTTCTGGATGGGTTGAACAGTGTACGGAAGGCCATATATCTTGCTGTGCCAAACTCTGCTGGAGATATTAGCTGTCTGTTTATATGAACCTGATGGAGCATAACAGCAAAATATTTATATACACTGACACATGGATTATATACAGTCACTTGGGGGTTAAAGCCCAGCTGATGCCTAATGGAAAACTTGGTATAGTGTTTTATTTACACACAGTTCCACTCTTGCGTTTCCCTTCTCTTGTTCTTTACCCATGTTGGAATTAAAACAAGGTCAGAATCTTTTTCTTTACAGAAGTGCAAGTACCTTTGTCCCAGCGAGCCTTAAAGCCCTCTGAAATGTCATGATAATTATTTCTTAGAAGTCCAAACAAGAAGTCGGGATTTTAGATGGAAAACCACAAATAGCAGGAAGCAACGAACTCCTGGATAAACAAGGTCTGAGATACTAACTTGATAAGAATCAAGCATCCAAATCCCTTAGGCACCTTTGCAAATGTCAGCCAATGCCTTGTTTTCATGCAAAACGAATAATCACGGAAGAGAATTTTTGTTTTACACAGCATAATAATTAACCTTTGGAACTCTCTATCACAAAGTTTCATTGAGGCTGAGATCTTCCCCCACCAAAAGTTTAAGATGTCTGTAGAGAATTATGTCAGTTGCATGAGACGGGATGTGAACTTTCCTCTTTCAGGGCTTAACCTGATCATTAACTAACAGGGGCTAAAGCAGAAGTTTCCTCTAAGGCAGGGGTGTCCAATAGGCCTGTGCAAAGCAGCTAGTATTCACTTCGGATTCGGCCGATTCGGGGGACAGTGATTCGATTCAGTGATTCGAATCACTGTCTTGATTCGATTCAGCCAAATCTCCAAATCAGCCAGGCCAGGCCCATCTCCCAGCCCAGCAATGGCTGCCTCACCCGCCTCAGCTCCCAGCACTTGGGGGAAAAAAAAGCTGCAGCTCAGCAGGTGCTGCCAGGTGGGGTATGAGCCCCTGAGTCTCCCCTCCCCCCCCAGCCCCCTCACAGGTGCCCTGCACAGGCCAGCTCTGGCCCTTTAAGGAAAAAAAAAAACCCTGACGAAACCCTGGAACTCACCGCTCCTACCGGTGGGGGGGTGATCCCCGCTGCCCTGTGCCACATGTGGGGGCTCTGCAGGAGCCCCTGAAGCCCCGAGGCTGCACCAGGAAGGGTGAGCCCCGGGGCTTTTCTCTGCTTTTTTTTTCCTTAAAGGGCCAGATCTGGCCTGGGTGGGGCACCTGTGGGGTTTTAAAGTACCGAGCTGGGGCGGGCAGGGGCAGCCATGGTGGGGTTGGGGGAGTGGGCGGAGGTCAGGGGGCTGGCAGGGGTCCCGCCATGGTCCCTTCCCCCAGCTCCCCCTCCCCTGCCCCTAGTACTTACCAGCTCACAGTGGCTGCAGCAGGGACTGCCCGAATCAAAGCTCTATGAATCTTTGCTGGAGATTCGGAGAGCTTTGAATTGATTCAGACCTTTATACTGGTCCCGATTTGATTTGGATTCAGAGATTCAGCCACCGAATCGGGCCAAATCTCCTCCGAATCGAATCACCACCCAAAGCTCCGCACAGCCCTAGTGTCCAACTCACCTTGTACTGAGGGCCTGGATTCAGCTCAGGGTATGAGAAAGCTGCAGTGGTGGCGGCAGCTCCGGCTCTGACCGAGGGTACCAGGCTATAGCATTCCAGCCCCCGCCATGTGCCCCTAGCCAGAGCCAGAGCTGCAGCCACTGCATGCACTGTGTCAGAGCAGCAGTTTCAACTCCAGCACAGGGCACATGGTGGGGGCTGGCAGCTGAAGAGGTAGGGCCATGGCAGTGTGGATAGTCAAAATGGTCAGAGGGCAACCCATGTTGCATCAGACCTCACTTGCTCTCCTGCCACCAGTAACCATATCCACTGATGCTCAAGAGCCTAGATTCTGTGGCAGGCCACTCTCCCTGGCTATGCTGACAGTCAGGAGGCTTAAGAAAGTGGCTCCATGGGCCAGATCTGTATGTTTGATTCCCTTGCCCTACCATTGTCCCATAATGGCCCATTTCAGGGTCACTTGCACTTCTCTTTGAAGCATGTGGCACTAGCTGGAACTGCTTTGGTCTACCGGATCCCATGTTTTCACAATCCTAAATCCAGAATGTGTCAGATACTAGAGCTGTGTGAAGCTTCTGGTGGTGATTCGATTCAGAGAAGATTCCGTTCGATTCAGTGGCCAAACCTCTGAATCCAAATCAAATCGGGGACCAATTTAAAGGTCTGAATTGATTCAAAGCTCTCCAAATGTTCAGCAAAGATTCGGAGAGCTTTGATGATTCAGGCAGTCCCTGGTGGCTGCAGCAGGGAGCTGCAGGCACTCTGAGCTGGTAAGTACTAGGGGCAGGGGAAGGGAGGCTGGGAGAGGGGACCATGGGGGGACCCCAGCCAGCCCCCCCGACCTCTGCCCACTCCCCCCATGGCCGCG